CTTGTTTTTTAATGCAGCATAGTATTCCATTGTGCGAATATACCACAGCTTCTCTAGCCATTCGTTTGTTGATGGGCATTTAGGTTGTTTCCAACTTCTTTTGGATCTTTTGAATATTTTAAAAAATTATGTAATCATTTGGCATGTAGAATTTTTTACCCTCTTTATTTTGCTGGTTACATCCTGGTAGAATACTACAACTGTATTTGTTGTAAATGAGTAGAATAATTTTTATAAATTGTGTAATGACTATGTAGTGTTTTTGCCAGCATATGGTTACCACATATTATGGCTGTCATTATATGTTGTTTTAGTGTCATTAAATTGTGTTCTCTTGAGCTGTTTAGTGTCTTCTTGATTTGAGTATTTGTAAGGGAGTGTCTTAATTAGATGAACTTTTTTTATCTCTTGCAAATGACTTTCCTTTACTTTCCGTGAATCAGAGAAAGTGTGATCAGCTTCTGTTTAAAGTCAATAAAACGACTATGCTTTTTTTATCAGTCATTAATAGAAGACTTTAAAAGAAGCCTTTTATGTTTTCATAAGCTTTATAACATTTATAAACAGATAACTTTCTTAACCACTTATTTCTGAAACATTTTCTGTGAAATAGATAAAAAGTAATTCTTGAATTATATTTTTGAATGTGTTTTATGATTAGGATAACATTCTATTTTATGAAGTTTCTACTTAATTCAAAGAATAATTTGCTTATTTTCCTTTTCTGTGTTGCCAGTATGAGCTCTACCATAGATTAATAATTGAAATGTAACATAGTGCTTTATAAGTTTTCTTTTTATAATTTTTTTAAGTTCTCTCTTGCCTGACATTTTTTCATATGATTTGAATTCAGTATTTCAGTATACTTTTGTTCTCTTTTGAGGTAGAAAGATTATCAGGTTGAATATGATTTGTAATTTATAGCAAGATTGATCTTGTTTTTAATTAATGTTTCCATATAGGTATTTCAGGAGCCATTAGAAGAAGAACGAGATGGCAGAAAAAAGAAATATCCTAGTCCCCAGAAGACTCGTTCAGAATCTAGTGAACGAAGGTTTGTGCTTATCTTTAATTGGGAAAACATTGATAACTAACTTTCTGGTTGTCTTACAAAAGTATTAAAGGGGTTTTTAACATATTTACTGACTTTCCTTTCTCTGAAGTGATTTAAGAAAGAGAATGTTACCCTTTCCCTTCCATTCTTTCTGTTTTTTGTCTTTGTTGTACTGTCTATTCCTTTTATAAACAGTCACCATTATGTGCTTTCCCCAAGAGCTCACGGGTGGGAGCATTCTTTCCTTAGGGAATATCAGTGAAATGTTCCATTTGTTTAGGGGTGCTTAGTATTACAATGACACATATCAGCTTATATTACTTACAGTGCAAATTGTATTTTGAATCATTACTCTTATCTTCAAAAGAAAAAAAAATCGGTCTTTTATTTAGGAAACCTTTGAATTTTTCTTGTCTTGCTCTAATTTTTGTCCATTACTACTCCCCTACCTTCCTAATACTTTGGATTCACCTTTCCTTTTCATTTC